TCATAAATACAAACCAGTTGCTAAAGGATGTGGCTTTCAATATTATCTGCCCAAGATTTTGACGCAGCTTCTGCTTTTGTTAAAGATTCAACAGGATGAAGATAACCACAGTCTATTTATTTAGGGACGGTGGATTCTAGTCCAGGGATCTCCAAACTTGGCAACTTTTAAGACTTGTGCACTTCAACTCCCAGAATTCCACATGGGTGGCTGAGGAATTCTGGGAGTTGAAGTCCACAAGTCTTAAAGTTGTCACGTTTGGAGATCCCTGGTCTAAACTATGAAATGGCTTTCCTGCATCTTTTTGTCTAGCAATTCTGTCTCGTAACAGGCAACTTCAGCCTGGGTAAAAAGCCCACCAGAGATGTGGAACCTCAACGCCCAGAATCCTTAGCCACCCATGGGAATTCTGGGAGTTGAAATGCCCCCCCCCCCCCCGGAGAAGGCCCAAGTTGGCAAAAGCAAGAATCATAACGTATCTGACTTTTGGTTTTGCTGTTACTATCTTATTATTTTTATTGTGTTTTCTTTTCAAAGACCGGATTCTTTGTGGAGCTTCTAATGTTTGTTTTCGTGGGGATGAAAGTACAAATATGTAAAGATCTTTACACAATCTAGACGGGGTCAGCAAGCTTTTTATTTCCTGAGGTCTTGTTGATGAATTCGATAGGATTATTTTGCTGCAGTTGTTTCAGCTGTCTTTCAAACGATGGTGTTTTTTTTTTTTAATTTCACTAACTCGTTGTGAAGCATTTTTTTAAAGTGTCATACAGGTAGCCCTTGACTTATGACCACAATTGAGCCCAACATTTCTGAGACCTTTGTTAAGTAAATTTTGCCCCATTTTACGACCTTTTTTTAACCACAGTTATTAAACGAATCACTGCAGTTGTTAAGTTAGTGACACAATTGTTAAGCGAATCTGGCTTCCCACACTGACTCTGTTTGTCAGACGGTCGCCAAAGGGAATCACATGGCCCCGGGGGTCACTGCAACCGTCATAAGTAAGAGTCAGTTGCCAAGTGTCTGAATTTTAATCACGTGACCATGGAGATGCTGCAGTGGTCATAAGTGTGAAAAATGGTCATAAGTCACTTATTTCAGTGCCGTTGTAACTTCAAACAGTCACTAAACGAACTCTTCTAAGTCCAGGACTAAGTGTAGTTGTTTTTCAGTCTAATACAAATATATTATACATAGGAATGTATGCATGTGTCTGTGTGTACAGATGCACACACATACACACACACACACACACACACAGAGAGAGAGAGAGAGAGAGAGAGAGAGAGAGAGAGAGCGCTAAGTTTAGCCACCAAAATTGGGACTGGCCACTTGGTCATTAAGTGAAGCAGTCGCTAAATGAATCAGCGACTCTCCTTTTGATCTTCCGTTCTCTCTCTTTTGAATGCTGGCTGGGGAATTCTGGGAGTTAGAGTCCGTACATCTCAATGTTGTTGAGATTGAGCAACACTGCTTTACAGATCCGCAAACAATCACCCGTGCGAGGATCGGTCGCAAAATTACTCTTTCATCACTGGCGTTAGGGCAGACGGTCGCTAAGCCAGTCAGCTGCTAACTGAGTTACCACCTTTATCCACACATGCACCCCAATAATAAACCTTTTGAATTATAATTCCTGGAGCACACAATCTTCATGGCTACTCCTAAGCAGGCCTGTTTCCTTCCTTCACTGATCCTAGATTATACCGAGAATGTGCAGTTTGCCTTGGACTCTCCAAAGGTCATCAAAGAAGGGGATGATGTGCAGCTGCAATGTCGGGGCGACGGGTTCCCCCCACCCGAATATTCCTTCATCAAAGTGCAGGTACTGCTCGGTCCGATCCTAGTTCTTTCCCCCCCTGAGGAAGGAGAATTAGGTTGGTAACCCCAGTTTTGGCACGATCCGTTCAGACCAGACTGGAGACAAAAGGTAGAACCGAAGAAGCAGGTTGCGTGTCCCCAGTCACTTGTGTTGGCTTAATGTTGGGTTTTGGGGTCCATCTGGGAGCGAAATTCCACTGGCTCAGATTCAACAGGAGTTTCCCGATACAGAGAGCCCTCAACTTACGTCCACAAGGTTCAATCAATCAATCAATGTCAACTTCTCGCGGGGGGGGGGGGAAGATCTTGCAAAGTCGGAATTGATTGATTGAACTTTTTAGTCCCACCCAGTCTGCCATTACCACCGCAGCCACGCCCATCAAGTGGGCCACGCCCACCCAATAGGCCACGCCCACCCGGCACCCGACGATGCATAAGTGGGTTTTGGGTTGCAGTTCTGGCACACGGTCTCTAAAAGGTTTGCCTTCACTGCCCTAACTGTAATTTTCCTCCAATAAAATTCCCGTGTATTTTACCAGGAAACATAGATAGGGCAGGCTAGAAAAGTCAGTGCCTTCCTAACCATACCCAAGCACTCCAGGTTCGTTGGCGATGTCCATTTTGCTCTCTGAGTTCATGGTGACCTAACCCTAACCCTAAGTGGAATTTTCCTCCTATGGGATTTTCCCATGTATTTTACCAGGAAACATAGATAGGGCAGGCTAGAAAAGTCAGTGCCCTCCTAACCATACCCAAGCACTCCGAGTTTGTTGGCGAAGTCCATTTTGCTCTATGAGTTCATGGTGACCTAACCCTAACCCTAAGTGGAATTTTCCCCCAATGGGATTTTCCCATGTATTTTACCAGGAAAGATAGATAGGGCAGCCTAGAAAAGTCAGTGCCTTCCTAACCATACCCAAGCACTCCGAGTTTGTTGGCGAAGTCCATTTTGCTCTTTGAGTTCATGGTGACCTAACCCTAACCCTAGTGAGTTTCCTACCTGAGCAGGGGGTTGGACTAGAAGACCTCCAAGGTCCCTTCCAACTCTGTTTATTCTATTCTATTCTATTCTATTCTAAACTGTTCAAAATGGACTTTCAGACCATTCAGCTTTGAATGGTCACTAAAGGGATAGTTGTATGTTGAGGACTACCTGTGTAGTCTCCAGCCTTACCTACTTCTGCTCCTTCTTCCCAGACTTCCGATAACCTGGTGGACCTGCCCACCACCACCGATGGTGTCCTTCTTCTTCCTCAAGTGACCAAGGCTGACAGCGGGACCTACCGCTGTCAGGTCTTGGACTTCTATAGTCCCTCCGAGGTGGAACTAGAGAAGGACGTGAGCATCTTCATCAATTGTGAGTGGCCCATGGAATGCTGGGAGAAAGGCTCAGGCCCAACCCTCCTTGTCATCCTCCAGTTGCTAATTAAAATTAAGCCTTGTCTGCTGGCTTTCAGATCTGGACCCTCTGGTCCTAAATCCAAGCAAGATGGTGAAAGTAAACCGAAGTGAAGACCTTCAGTTGACCTGTTCTGGCAGTGGCTCCACGACGCCCACCTTGTCATGGAAGAAGGTAGGTAGAATCTGCCAGGGCTTCCTTCATAAGTAACACATCTGCCAGACCATGGCCTGGATCAAAGATGGCATCCATGGTCAGGACATATTTGAAATCCTGAGAGGGTGCATTCCCATAACTGGCTGCCCCAGGAAATTTTTATACAATAGTCCTGTCATGCGCCAGGGAAAACAGAAGATCCAGGCAATTCAAATGGATATAAAAGTTTATTGTAAGCTAGTGTTCTCTACAAGAATCTGAACTACTAACGGTCCAAGCAAATTGGCGGTAAATAAGGAATTCATGGTGGGCTGGACTTAGATCTCTTGTTGGCATGAAGGGACTCATAACTGATGATGCATTTGACCTCTCCCTCAGGCTCAGCCTGGTCATCTCCTAAAAGTCCTTAGTTAGTGAACACAGCTGGGACCAGCAACCTGGTCACTAAATGAGGCATTTGCTAAGAGGGAAATCACGTAAATTGCTTACGATTTTACTTCAGCTTTAATTTCCCCCCCTCTCTCCTGCCTGTTAGAATGCTTATCTTGGTGCTGGGATAATTATCAAGAAGGATATTAATGTTTTGTATTTACATTTATTGGAGAGAAAGGGACTAGAAGAGAGTAAGCAGATACACAATGGGGAATACACATTGAAAGGAATGGTTCTACTGTCTTCTGATCCCTTCCTCTACAATCTCTCCATTCTGCCAGGCGGATCAGACACACAAGAGATTTCTAAAGAGATAACAGTGGTACCTGGGTACTCAACTGCTTTGAAACTCCTCAGATTTGGTACTCAATGCATTTTGATGAGAAAATTTTGCCCCTCGTCGTTTGTTTGCTACTGAACATGCAAGTTGGAATTTATGGGTGTCAGTTGCCCCTTTCCAGCCAATAAATTAGTCATGCGGTAGTTCTGTGGTCATTTTATGTACTTTTGCATTTTTTCCCCCATCAATACAGGTAACATGGAGTTTTTAATTTTATTTAATCTAAGTATTAAGTTTTAGGTTTATTTCTCATGTAAGTGATGATGTACCACCCTATCTTCTTACATATTGCCTTAAAAATGGGCATTGTCATCTCCCACCTGTAAGATTAGCTAAAATGGGTCCAAATGTCTCCTTCAAATGTTGAAAATGTAAATTGGCAAAAGGGACATACTATCATATGTGGTGGGAGTGCCCATGAGCCCGTGACTTTTGGAATAAGATTAAAAAATGGCTGGAGGAAATATTAAAGTTAGTGGTAGAGTTAAAACCAGAACTCTTTTTACTAGGCATAACCATGTAGAAATACAACAAAGGAATGTTTTATTTGATGTTACACATTCTCACGGCTGCTAGATTGGTGTATGCTCAAAACTGGAGGAATAAAGGAATTCCAACAGAAGAAGAGATTATATATAAAATTTTATCGTGTGCTGAAATGGATAGGCTCACAATGGAAATGAAGGATAAGACAGAATCAGACTATTTCGAGATCTGGGACAAATTTTACCACTGGTGTGAATGCTCGGGTTTTAAATTAGCGTTAAGATAGAATTATATATAACTGTATATATAACTGTATTGTATAGAAGAATATGTTTATATAGAGACCAAGAACTATGTATTAATTACATGTATCAAGAGGAACAAATTGTTAGGAATATTTATTTTGGAATGTCACGTTATGTCCATCTTTGGTTTTAACTGTACTATAAATAAAAAACTTTTTATAAAAAAAAATGGGCATTGTCTTTGGGAATGTATTACATTTATTTACATTATTCTTTATGGGAAAAAATTGGTACTCATCATTTTTGGTATTAATCATGCCTCCCGGAAGCAATTAATGACGCTTACCAAATTACCACTATATATATTCTGGGGGATGGGGAATGGTTTGGATCCTCACTGCTTTGGATACCAGTTTTCATGCTGATTTTGCAAACCAAAGGCCACTTTGATCTCTAATAGCAAGGGCTCCCAAAAGAATCCATCGCCCCATTTTCCACTGGCAAATTTTATGGAAAGACACAAGCTCACAAAAGCTGGCGAGTTTCCATGAAATTTCCTACCAGGGTTTTGAGATAACGGACCCCAGAAGCAAAGAAGGGACCCCGCTCTGCAGCTTGCGCTTGATTGAATTGAGGGGTTTTTTTTTTATCTCTTCTGAAGGACCCGAGGCAGGGAATCACATCTGGGATAACAGCAGCAATCTCTTTTTTTTGTTTTTCCTTCATTTCTCCCCCAGGGAAGACAGCAGATGGCGACCGGCGGGACTCTGTTGCTGGAAGGGCTGACATACCCCATGGCCGGCACCTACGTCTGCGAGGCTTCTGTGCCCAGCATCTCCGGACTGAAACGGAACGAGTCAATCCAAGTTATTGTAGAAGGTAGGTAGGTAATGGTGTTTGTGTGTAGAGGGGTGTGTGTGTGTGTGTGTGAATGAGTGAAGGAGGCGAAATGGAACTGGAGGGAGGGTGCAGGAAGGAAAGATGCTGCAATCAGTAATAATAATAATAACAATAATAATAATAATAATATTATTATTATTATTATTATTATTATTATTATTCCAATTAGCTTGCTTAATCTACTATTCCGCATTTTTGGGAAGTCCAGCCTTAAACCATTGAGCACTGGGATGCCAGAATAACAGATGGAAGGGACCTTGGAGGTCTTCTAGTCCAACCCCCTGCTCAGGCAGGAGACCCTATATCATTTCAGACAAATGGCTGTCCAGTCTCTTCTTAAAAATCTCCAATGTTGGAGCACCCACAACGTCTGGAGTCAAGTCGTTCCACTGATTAATTGTTCTGTCAGGAAATTCCTCCTTAGTTCTAGGTTGCTTCTCTCCTTGATTAGTTTCCATCCGTTGCTTCTTGTCCTGCCTTCAGGTCCTTTGGAGAATAGCTTGACTCCCTCTTCTTTGGGGCAGCCCCTGAGATATTGGAACACTGCTATCATGTCCCCCCTCATCCTTCTCTTCATTAAACTAGACATCCCCAATTCCAGCAACTGTTCCTTATATGTTTTAGCCTCCAGTCCCCTGATCATCTTTGTTGCTCTTCTCTGTACTCTTTCTAGAGTCTCAACTTCTTTTTTACATCGTGGTGACCAAAACTGGATGCAGTATTCCAAGTGTGGCCTTACCAAGGCCTTGTAAAGTGGTATTAACACTTCACGTGATCTTGATTCTATCCCTTTGTTAATGCAGCCTAGGTTTATGTTGGCTTTTTGGCAGCTGCAGCACATGGCGGGCTCCTATTTAAGTGATGGTCCACTAGGACTCCGAGATCCCTCTCACAGTTGCTACTGTTGTGCTAAGTGCCACCTATACTATAACTGTACATTTGGTTTTTCTTGCTTCAGTTTAGAAACTTTTCATCATTGAATTTCATTTTGTTAGAGGGCCCAATGTCCTTCCCTCTCTCTCTCTCTCTTTCTCATACAGGGAAGCCAGAGGTAGAGATGCACCAAACCATCATGCAAGATCTGGAGCAGACAGTGAAGGTCACCTGTACGGTTTTAGGCCATCCCCCGCCAGAGATCAGATGGAACATTTCTGGTGGAAAGGTGAGTCCAAGGTCTGGCAAACCGGCAGTTTGATCCAGACCGGCTCAAGGTTGACTCAGCCTTCCATCCTTCCGAGGTTGGTAAAATGAGGACCCAGATTGTTGGGGGCAAATATGCTGACTCTGTAAACTGCTTAGAGAGGGCTGTAAAGCACTGTGAAGTGGTATATAAGTCTAAGTGCTTCTGCTATTGCCCTTCCTTCCTTCCTTCCTTCCTTCCTTCCTTCCTCCCTCCCTCCCTCCCTCCCTTCCTTCCTTCCTCCCTCCCTCCCT